AGGGTGGGGGGAGGAGATAACTGTGAACAGAGAGAGGCAAAACGGTGGGGGGGTGATTTCTATGAACAGTGAGGCAAAACAAGGATCGATTTTTGTGAGGGGGGCGATTTCTGCTAGGGGGCGATCGATTTCTGTGAGGGGGGCGATTTCTACTAGGGGGCGATCAATTAGCAAAGAGAGACAAAAAGGGGAGGGGGAAGATTTTTATGAACTTTTACAAAGAACCCTTGCTCTCTTTTATAGTGATTTCTGTGAACTTTACAAACAAAATAGGAACAGGGGAATTGGGGGAACTGGAACCGAGAGGAGAGGGGAATGGGAGGGGAATGAGAGGGGAATGGGAATAGTGAAATTGTTGAATACTAATAGGGAATTATACAAACCAGTTATAACGAAATTATAGGGAAAATGGGGAATGAATAACAACAGAAATGGGGAATGGAACAATGCAATTGGAGATGTTAATGGGGAATAATAACCAACCGGTTATAACAGGGGAAATAAAAAATGAATATAACAGGAAAAATAAGGAATTATAGAAACCGATAGGTTGTGGGGAACTGGAGAATGAGATGGGAATAACGAAATTATAACAGAACCCTAATAAATATAAATTTGTGTTTTATTTTGCTTTGATTAATTAATGATTAGTGTTTGATTATATTTATTATATATGGATAAATTTGTGTGATTATGCCAGTAATTATATGGATTTTATTGCTCAATGCCTATTGATCGTTGTGAACTAATGAAATGTATAATTTTTAAAATAGTTTTATCATCGAGAAATTGAATGTTATGGTCTTAAATAATATATTTTAAGACCTTATTTTTTTAGGGAATCAGATATCATTGGTGTAACTATTATACGTTGTCCGCTTCTTTGAGCATAATTTATTGTATTAATTGTGTGAGTATTTTATATGCTTTTTTTAATATTTATTTCCCTAAATTTTTAGGTTTTGTTATCAGAAAACTTCACTTTCATGATATGAATAGTAAGATAATTCATGCAGCATATATGAGTGCAGCTGTAACTGTGATAGCTACAAGGGTAACTATTATTGAACTAGAAAGAAATACAATTTATATACTAAGAGAACCACGTATAAATGCAATTGCTCAATGAGAATTTTATTTTAAAAGCATTTTGAATCGAGGTACTAGACATTACGTTGAACAAATTCGTATGAAACCTATTATCTTTTATAGATTGTGTGATGTTCTCACAAGTCATGACCTATTATGATCAACTCAAAATGTGTCGATTAAGGAGCAAGTAATTGTGTTTTTATAAATTTTAAATGAACATTTACCATAAATTAAAGGACTCTTATATTATTAGATATATTATTATAAAACATGCTTTAGTTAAGAAGTTATTGATACTTCAAGTGCAAAATGATGATATGAAACCTTGATAAAAATACACTTTTAAATATCAATCAGGTAAGCACTTCACATGATCTAAGCCTTTGTCTCACATGTTGCTTGAGATATTAGCTAAGAAGGCACTTAAAGGAAGCAAACATTCTTCGACCTTTAAAGCAGAATCTTTTGTTACGGTGGCTACAAAAATAAGTCAAAAGTTCAACGTCCAATGCGAGCCTAAGCATGTGGACAATCATCTCAAGATGGTGAAAAAAAATGGAGAATAATAACCAAACTTAAAAATAAAAGTGGCTTTGGCTGAGATGATTGTTTGAATATGATTACAGTTTCGAAAGATGTATATGATGAAGAAGTAAAGGTATGATAAATATTATACTCTTTGTAATTTTTATAATTACTTTTGTTTCTAAAATGTTATACAATAAACTAAAAAATTGCATATTCTAAACTTTATGAACATGTGCATCCCAATCATGACAAGTTTCTCAACAAAAAACTTGATATGTATGAGGCAATGACAATTGTTGTTGGAAAAGACATGGAAACCGGAAATTATATCAAATCATATGCTGATGTCAACTTAGAAGAGAACACTAAAGAGCAATCAATTTCAATTGAAAATAAAGGTGAATATGAAGAAAGTTAAAAGAGAAAAGAAACATCTTCCTCTAGTACACAAAAGAGGCAACATAGGAAGAGAAATCACATGTATGAAGATGATGGTATTGAAAAGTTGTCTAAATAGATTGGAGATGTAGCATTTGCAATTCAAAGCCTCAGCAAAAATCAACTTGATGTTAATGCATTGTATACGGAAGTGATGAAAATTGAAGGTTTTGATGAGATCATTCTTGGGGATTCATTTGATCATTTGGTCTAAAATGAAATGTTGGCAAAAGCATTTATAGTAAAAAAATGCTAATTTGAGGAAAATTTGGGTTCAGAATTTTGTGAACCGACACTACTACGGGCTTGCTTGCTAAGATGGTTTGACTATATTCAAAATTTGAGTTCAGACTATGTTTGTTATTTAATGAGTGTGTTTACTTATTTAATTCGATCTAACATGCTTATGTTTGATGTTAGATATTTATATTTATATCTTGATGTTTATTTGATATATATTAAAGGGATATTAAAGAGATAATTGCCTTTACCTGTACAAAAAAAATATTTATCCAAAAAACCCATAAAAATATTTTTGTATGTATTTATCTTTTAAAAAATTCTTCATAACAAAAAAAAACCCAAATATATAACTCTTACCATAAACTAATTTGGCTTTCTTCATATAAAAAAAAACTTATTTTAAGCTTTTAAAATTGAAAAAAAATATATTAATAGGTTTTACGTAAAAAATATTTCACAAGCTTATTTCTCTATAATATGATATGACATATATAGTTATATTTTATAAAATAAGCTATGTATGAATATAGGATATAATAAAAAAAAAATCATCATTATACCTTTTAGATTTCATTTTTTTTATTGTAAGTGATTAAATATTTTATATATATTAGATAAACTTGAAAAAAAAATTAATTCATTAATAAATTATTTTCCAGTTTATTTTCCATAACATAACCAAATACTGGAAAATATTTTCCAGTTTATTTTCCATAAAACTACCAAACATCGGAAAATACTTTCTCAAAATTTACTTTTCAAAAAAACACAACTTTCCTGCAAACAAACGGATCCATACTTTTCATATCTAATTAGATACTCTCTGTCTTGCTAGGCACTTTTAAGACAGAACATATTCTCTATTCAATTCCTCGTTAAATCACAAATAAATCAAATTGACAGCAATCTTAATCATCAATAATTAAATTAATTGTGGATCATATATAAATCAATTTAGTCTTCCCCTAATAATTGCTTGATTGCTGTAAGATTGTATAATGTACACAAGCCATATGTTCCATTTCCTCACATATATTTCTTTTTTTGAAGTGAACTGAAACTAAAACCTATTAATGTATGAATCAAATGCCTTTTAATGTCATGAATATCATTTTTCCTACACGTCTAAAGACTTGATTTAGTTGTTGTCATGGATTTTTCATCAATTTATCATATTTCAAGATATAAAATCTTTGAAGGATTTGCAAGAACAATTTGGTTGTGGACAATGGAGTGGACTCAAATTCAATGTATGAGAAGATATCTTTAATGCTGAACGGCATGGGGTTAAAATTCGAAGTTGGGAACCACTATATATGTCTATTCTCTGCATTAATATAAATTTTATAATCTCTGTTCAAATCCTAGCTAAATTTACAATTCCATGAAAGCTGAAAGCTACTTTATACAGTACAGAAGTAAAAGCAATTACAAGCTAGAATCATTACAGAAAATGATCAGTTTGTGTACTTGCACTAGGGGTCAGCATCAGCATCCATCTCTCAATCCACATTGGAAAGTGTGCCAGAGAGGAATCAGTGTGAGACCTGTATCAGTACATGGTTATGTATATAGAGTAAATATATATTTTATTTAAAAATATATTAAAATAATATTTTTTTATTTTTAAAAAATTATTTTTTATATTAACACATTAAAATACTAAAAAATACTAATTTAAAATTAAAAAAATTAAAATTTTTTTAAAATATTTTTTAAAAGCAAGCCACTTCAGTAATTCGAGTCTAGTGTACATACTACGGCAACTGACACACCAGAATTCTTCACCGGCTGCCAGGTCGGTCATCCATCCCAAATGGAAGGGGTGGTCTGGTTGGTTGATCTTCTGACATATGTCATGTGAATGGTGGGTTTCACGGGTCATTATTAATTGCAAAAATGTAAAATTTCTAGGCAAAGCAAAGCAATGCACTTGCACAGCTCTCAATTAGAGCAAGAGCACTTGAAAAGGGCCATAAATTTGGGATTAGGAGTTTGCTTTTTATGTTATCTTATATTTGAATTCTTGATTGCTCATATAATGACTACTAAAGGTTTATATAGTCGTTAATTTTAGGACCCATTAGATTAGTCATGGTGCACGCAAGCTAGCCCGGATACCTATATTAATAAAAAAAAAAAAAGAATTTCAAATTATGTGGTTCAGGCACCAGATCCCTTTAATCGTAGCCCTCTACTTTGTGGGCCTAAATCCTTGTAAGATCTATTTACCATTGATCTTTTATAGTTGCAGTTGACATTTTGTCAAAAGTAAAGATGAGACAGCTGTCAGTATCCTCTGGCTAGCCCTGCATCACGGCCGGTCTCTCTGCAACTTTGCATGAATAAAATATACCATACAGTTGCCATGTAAAGCCTTCCACTTCCTTTAACCCAACTGAAATGGTGATGGGTTTCTGAAATAATCTGAACACACTTGTTTTTATAATATTTTCTTTCTCCTTTATCTCTGCAATGTTTATCAAGCGACAAAGCCCTTAAAATCTCCCTCGTAAGCCTCTCTTCTATCTGCTCCTCCATACCTCTGTTGCTCAGTTGTTCAGTCTGTGAATATATCCTAGTTATCAACCTATTCCCTCCCCCGTCCCTCCCTAGCTCTTCTACATACACTTGACACACACTTTCTGTTTTTTTTTCCTGATACCTTGGGGGGGCAGTTTCCAAGATTGTTAGAATCAATGGATGTGGACATGATGAAATCATCATCAGGAGATGAACATATGGATATGATGACAATGATGATGCAGATGGAAAAGCTTCCTGATTTTTTCAGCCAGCCTTTTTACAACACTACTAACACTTCAACACTACTACAAGAAATACAATTCTCCAACGGGAATCCTACAGCTAATACTGTAGCTTCGCCACCTATCTGGCATAATCCACATGCATCTTCACCACCACTGATAAATCCACCTTGCTCCATGCCATTCATGGGCACTCCAATCCAAGAACCAGTGACACCATCTCTTCAACACGACATGATGGCCAAAAAATTCAGATATGTTACTCCATTCTCAAATGCAAACTCTTTCTTATCTTCAATAGAGAAGAAAAACTCAACTACAACAATTAGAGAGATGATCTTTCGCATAGCAGCAATGCAACCAGCACATATAGACCCGGAATCGGTAAAGCCTCCAAAAAGAAAGAATGTCAAGATATCTAAGGATCCACAAAGTGTAGCTGCGAGGCATAGAAGGGAAAGAATAAGTGAGAGGATAAGGATTCTCCAGAGATTAGTTCCAGGAGGCAACAAAATGGACACGGCTACTATGTTAGATGAGGCTATACATTATGTGAAATTCTTGAAGATGCAAGTGCAATCTTTAGAACAAATTGGTGCTAATAGGCCAATGGGTGGTTTTGGCTTCACCGGAGTTACAATGCCTAGTGTTGGTTATTCTTCTTTGGTAAAGAATTTCGACCCTGCTGCTAATACGGTGGGCACAATGCAGATGCTCAGATGAGAGATAGGATTAGCTGGGCAATTGTCTTTTCTCTGTAAAAGTCAATAGTACTTTTTTGGGGTTTTGTAATTAGTCAAGATTTTCTTGATATCTTGTATGCGTTGTAATTGGGTTAAAGGATTCTAAGGCGTGGCTAGCTACTTAATTCAAAAATTTTATTGAATATCCCGCCCTCTTAATTAAAGTCTGCCAAAGAATTATAATCACAAGTACAAGTCTTATTAGAATACAATATCTTCATAAGCAAAAGCATACCTTTCATGTTCATATAAAATTTATCCAGATTGAAACAAAATTGTTCAAAGGAATAACTTGCTATTTGTTTTAACTACACAAGTCAAAATAATATTCCACTCTAAATATTCTGTAATATTAAAAATAAAGGTTTGTTTTTAAAATTATGTGAGGGTATATCTCTTCTCACCTAAAACTCTCTTTTTTTTATTACATTCATAAAAAAAAATATTGATGAAGCTAGGAAAACTTCACGCGTAGCTTTGTTCATGGATAATAATAAGCTTGATAGATGAGTGTTACCAATAAAATAATCATTCGATATTGTTGTAATATTATGGTCATGCAAATTACTTATCATAACTTAAACAAATAAGATAATATAAAACAAGTAAAGGATTGATCTCAGAATAAAAATCTAATTCAAATCTTTACACTAAATGATTCAAAGTTAAGGGTGGGTTGAGATTATCTAAACTATGTTAGGATAAAAGAAATAAAGTAATCAAACTAAATTAAATAAGTTATAACTTATTAAGAGAAAACTCTTGGTATCAAATAAACATCTACCTTTAAAAATCAAAATTGATAATTGAAACAATGTCATTTTATATTTTTAATATTTATCTTTTTGTAATATTAGTTAATTAACTAATTTATAGTATAACTAACCTTAATTATTAAATAACCATAGCGTCTACATTAAAAATTTAATTCAATGACAGTCTTAATAACTAGATAGGTTAATAATCTAGACAATATAATAAATTAGCAAAGCTTACTAACACAAAAGGATAAATCAAGACTTGTTATGGGGCATATTAATGAAGAGATCCAACAATCATTCTATGTATTGTAGTATCAGCCATTAGTTCACCATCAACAAGATTAAGGATGGTGCTGAAAGCCATTGGAGTGCCTACTAGTTTGACCTTGTCTATTATAATCCTATACAGCAAGTCAAAAAGATACTCTTATTAGGAAAGAATCATTGAATTAACTTTCTCTTAACTTCAAGATCAAGAAAATAGTGAAGATCTTGTAAGTTAACAAGTTCGAACTTCTGAGAAAGTTGTGTTATAAGATGATGAACAATACTATGACTGATTTTTGTCATAGCTATATCATCCATATACCATATACACCAAAATATAGAAAACATCACCACCAGGCTTATGAATAAATGTAACCTCAAGGGGCAAAGCGCAATTGATCAGATCCTAGGTTTGCTTCTTATAGGTCACCAGTTTGAGTCTTATAAACTTCAGGATTACTGAAAGTTTACATGATCATTAACTTCAGGGCCCGTAAGATTAATCGAGGCACAAATAAGTTGACTTAGATACCTATATTAATAAAAATAATAATAAATAAAAAAGAGTGAGAGCTATGAAATTGGATGTTGGTTGATTCTTCAAATTCACAATTTATTTAAGTTCTTTTTCCATGTTTTATGGTGAAGAATTATTTTTCTCTATACTTCACACACATATTTTTATTTTATTTGTAAAAAATGCCCCATGTATTGTTGAATTTCTTAAACCAAGAAATGTTAACTCTTCATACTTGCATTAAAATCAATTGATAATATTAACGAAGTATGATATGAAACTAACATTATTTCTCTAAAATCATTTGATCTTGTTTTAAAATATATCTAAAATTTCAAATGTTTTGAACCAATCAATTTAATTTAAAAACTACTTGTTTTTTAGTTTCCGAACGTATTGTTTAGGTTTCTTGAATTATACCTAATTTTTAATCTTTTATATAAAAAAGAGATTTTTCTAAACACTACCTCCTTAAAATGACAACTTCACATTCCACCACAAAATCAGTTTTTCTAGTTTGTTATTTCAACTTCATTAAATGTTTTACTTTAAATGGTCTAATATGAATGCCACTTAAAAAAAGAGAGTTTGTTTTCAAGACAATCATGTAAATTTGTTTTGCCTTATTACAACTTCATTAAATTCATTAAATGATTTACTTCATTAAGATGAACATTTACCATAAATTAAATATATCTTATATTTATTAGATATGTTATTATAAAGTATGCTCTAGTTAAAGAGTTATTGATACTTCAAGTGCAAAATAATGATATAAAACTTTAATAAAAATACACTTTTAAGTACTAATCAGACCCTCTAACCAACTTATTACTAGTGCTTAATAATCAAAGTGTTAAAATAGAAAAATAATTTTCAAGTTCCATAAAGCAAGACATTCATCATTTAACTTCCATTAATCTATTCAAATAAACAAACTCTCATTAAATTTATATATCTATTTTATACTTTTTAAACAAGATATTAATAAATCTTTTTTTTATATGCTCAATATATGAAAACATAGATGATGGGGTTTTTATATGCTAAAATTAGGAATTATTGATTTGTTAACTAATTATTGAATGGGTGGCCACATCTTGACTTAGTGATAATCCTTATCTTCTTGTCTAAATAAAATATCATTGCTAACATCAGAATTTCAATAGACTTGATTCAAGAAAGTTCTAGAAAATTGACTTACTTTTCTAACAAAAAAATTCATTGCTAACATCAAAATTTGAATAGATTTGATTCAAAAAAGTTCTAAAAAATTGACTTACTTTTCCAACAAAAAAAATTAAGGTTATTTAGGCTTCTAGAGCTCAAGATATGGGTTGAACATTGAACAGTGTCTAGGCTGTAGGACAGATTTAGACTTCTTGATTATTGCTAAGATTTGGACTTCCAAACAGCAGAATTGAGTCTTGTATTCCACATGAATATTTTAGATCTATGTATTAGCTTTCTACCCAAATAAACCAAATTGAAATCCAAAATCTACAACTCCAGATATGACCCAATCACTAAACTATGTTCCAGTTTGAACTGAACCAACATCTCTTTTCTAATCTTAACTCTCTCTTTGTCTTTTCAATTTCAGTAGTTAAACTCATCAATTAATCCTTTTATTTATGTGATAGACCTACATTTAAGATGAATATTTACCACAAATTAAATGTATCTTATATTTATTAGATATGTTATTATAGCATGCTCTAATTAAGGAGTTATTGATACTTCAAGTGCAAAATGATGATATAAAACCTTGATAACAAGACACTTTTAAGGACTAATCATGCTCCCCAACTAGCTTATTACTAGTCCCTAGTAATCAAAGTGTTAAAATAGAAAAAGAATTTACAAGTTCCACAAAGCAAGGCATTCATCATTCATTAATCTATCTAAGCAAACAAACTCTCATTAAATTTATATATCTACTTTATACTTCTTAAACAAGATGTTAATAAACCTTGCTTTTATATGCTTAATGTATGAAAACATAGATGATGAGGTTTTTATTGGAAGAAAACAATATTTTGTTATAATGTTTAAGGTTAACTTTCTTAGGTTGGGATTATCATCTTTTTTTTCTTTTTTTATTATTTTTTATGATTTTTAATATATATACAAATAACACAATAAATCTTTAACCTATGTAACAAGTTTTCGGCTAATGACTCCTAGACTAGTTGGTCTTAGGACATTATGTGTTGATACACCCCTACGAGTATAGTAACTGGGGTTGCAAATATTAATACGCAGATAGTGCAATGTTTGATTCCCTTAAGCTTTTCTCCTCAACCCATGTAACGGGCCAATAGCTCCCAAGTCAGTTGACTTTAGGGTATTAGGTGTTAAAATACCCATTTGGGCTTAATTGCTTAGGTTAGGGAAGCTACGAAATTAAACTTATCTATGTTTTTATTTATTTATTTAATTAAATTTATTGTTATTTTTTTTTTTTTGTAAATTCTATATTATCTCTTTCCTTTAGTTATTACCTTTAAAAAAAACATAATTAATATAATAATTCAATGCATAACCCACAATCATATGTTAAAGTGTGTGTGTGAAAATAAAGATTTAAGAATACTTGTTAAATGAGTATATGAGTAGAATCAAGTAATAATAATGCGAGAGTTTGTAAATATGAATATTTCATGAGAAGCGTGTGATAGACCTTCTTATGAAAATTGCAAATAACCATTGAAAAATATTTACCAAGATGTGTCTCAAGAGTCAATAAAATTCTTCCTTACTCTTTCATTCTGATAACAGTTTTGTCAAATAGTTTTTAATAATAGCAAAAACAGGATTTTTTTAATGTCAACTACTACCTTTTCCCCCCAACTAAAATGAGACATTGTTCTTAATGTCCTAAAGTAGAAAGATAGAGTATAAAAGACATCTGAAACAATGAACATTGATAATCTCGAAACACACTTAAACAAATATATAAAAAAAAAAACAAAATAATATGCTATTAATAAAATAAAAGTGCACAAGGTTTCATAAATGAAGGCTCAAATCCAATCTAAGTTTTTTATGGCTTTACTTAGTTGATCAATTTATGTGACTCATGAAGGGATCAATTATAGGGATGAAAGATTGTAGTTGGTCAATCAATTGTTCAGCAGTAACAACAGAAATTATGATTTGTTGTGCCGAAGATGTTAAAAAATTACGTTCCACAACATGATCAAGAAAAGACAATAATTTATCATAAAAACCATTAACATTAAGCTAAACAATAGGTTTATAGTGAATGTAAAGTTGAGCACAAGAGAAAATATGAAAGATCTTCTTTAATGTGCCCAAACCAGCTGGTAAGGCAATGAAGACATCAACGTATTTAAATATT